GTGTGTGCTCACTCATTAAGAGAGATTGATCAGATTGATCCTTTGGCAATGCTAAAGCTAATTATTACCCAGACTGGAGTGCAGCGGAACTGAAGTGTCTTTGGACGCCGCCGGCGTGGGCTTTAAATTCTCACATCAGTCACATTTTCCACAGACTCAGTTGTTTCTCACCTGACAGGTTGGTTTTGGCTGAGTCTGTGCTGCTAGTGTGTGTGTGTGTGTGTGTGTTTGTTTCAGTTTAAGGCCTTAGCAGGTGACAGTTCAGTTCAGTCCAGTCCAGGTCACTGCAGACCAAACGTTGACGTCAGGTTCACGTACAGTTGTCCTCACACGAACCATCTCCATAACACTGTTGATGGACGAAGATATGGATTTTCTTGCTGAATCCTTGGACTTATTGACTTTATGTTTTCACTCATTTAAAGTATCTGTCGCGGGGTTTTTTTTTCTTCCAGAGCTGAAGATATTTATGGCTCAGTGTTACACATGATGCTGAATATTAAAAAAAACAAAACAACCTGATAATCGATTATAAAATATTACCAGTCCAACTAAGACCAAAAGACGGCTGTGGAGCAGCCCAGGAAGGTCAGTGGACACAGAGGGAGCGTCCAACTAAGACCAAATGGTGACGACTCTCTGCAGGCCGTCATGCATCAAGTTCCATTCTCTGCCAAACATGTCATGGGAGCACTCCCGCCGAGGATTTCTGGGATATTTACAGACTATTTCCATCATTTCTTTTTCACTTCCTTGTCTCTTGTTGACCCTAAGCTGGATCTGGAAGCCAGAAGAAGAACAGAGGAGTCAGGCCAGGGGCTCCAGGGTCGGGGGTTTGGGAGGGGGAGGTTTTTAAGAAAACATGACTTCTCTGGGCGTCCTGCCCCAGTCACATCAGTCACATTAGTCACACAGACTCACCAGCCACACGATTTCGGCCACTCTTCCTCGACCAATCAGCTGTTCAGATTCCAGAGGTACAGATGCCTCTCAGCCTTAGCCTCAGATGCATGAGTCGCCATGGCAACACACGTGACTCACATTGTACAAGAGCGTCTTTGAAGCAAGACAGCAAGAGGATGTTTTATTCACCATCCCTCTGAGTAAATGACCACCCCCTCACCTCACCCCCCCCCCCCCCCCCCCCCCCCCCCACCTCCCCCCTCCTATTGGGAAATCCAGAGAAGGATATTTTTTTTCCCCATAAGCCAAACATTTACTCTCCGCTCCCCAGAGATAGAACCGTCCCAGAAACATTCCAAGGCCAGACCAGGGACTCACTTCCTCAGGGTGTCCTTGGTCTGCCCTGGGGTTCTCTTGGCAGGCCCAGAGTCCAGGGAGGACTCCTGACTGGATGCCAGTATCACCACCGTCTGTCCAGATCTGTCTTTTCATCACCAGCACCATCATCATGAATTAGAACCTGGATTTCATTCCAGAGTCACCAAGGCAACAGTCTGCAAACACTCAGCCCAATTAACCTGACGTTAGTCAAAGGAAAGTGAAAAGTGAAATTCAAGGTTTAATTAAAATGTTTAGTTTTGTCCTTGAATTGTTCTTGTCTTAAACGGAGCCATTTTATTGGCCAACTCAGACCAATCAGACGTGAGTGTACAAACATCTAATGGCAATAACATTTACATACTGTGTGTGTGTGTGTGGGTGGTGGTGGGGGGGGCTACACTGCCATCCCACACACACACAGATTGATTGGCGGACGTATATGCACTCTGTCGACAGTGGGCTCAGCAGCTGCGTTCTCTCGTCAGGGTGATTATCTCCCTCATAACTCACTTACAGCTTTCATTTGCTCCATAATTCACACCAGTCCCAATGATGGCAGCTCCATAATTCACACACACGCTGATTATCTCAGCTGTAAGTCACACACCTGCGACGGAACACAAGTGCTACAGTAAAAAGCAAAAAAAAAAGAGAGAGAGACAGAGAGAAGCGGTCAAACAATGGAAGAAGAAGACGGAGCAACACAATTAACTGAAACACAGAGTAAATATTTACACTTTAATATGTTAAATATTACAGGCAATTATAGCAGGAAAAGTGCTATAGGTTAGGTTGCACTAGAAAAGCTAAAAGTTAGCAACAAAAAACTTAAAATTTGGGGAGAAAAATTGTCAGAATTGTTTAATAGTGGTGTAAATAAAATGAAATCCACTTATAAAAAAACACTGAAATACATAAATAATCCAGAGCCTGAAGGATTTCAGGAAGTTATATCCAGCAGTAGTTGTCTTGAATTGCTAAAAGCTAAATAGCTAAATGTTAGCTGTTTTTAACTAGTGTGAAGCAACTTTTCACGATCAGTCAATGGTTTAAATAAACCATGACTCAGTGACCGCTGCTTCAAATGTCGCTCTGATGGTTCTGCTCTTTGCAGATATAGAACTCATTCTTCAGAGTCCACACCATATCTAATTCACTGAACTCAGCTCCACATCCTTCTCCTCTCTGCTTCTCTTCTTCTCTGCCAGTGGTTCAACAGTCCAGTCAAGCTCTCTCTCTGCCCCCGCGGGGCAATTGTACAATAATGATTTATTAGCCTGGACAGACTCCGTTCTTCTCTGCTGTAATGGAGGTTCTTGGCCATTCATTCTTACATTAACGTTCCGTCCCAGTGAAATGAAACGCCATGATGTTCACATCCACACTACTGCTGTAGAGCAGGCCGACTCACGGCCGCTGGGACCCGGTCTCTGGAGCTCACTCACCCAGTCAGACCTAAATGTCACACTTGGGCGACTTGTTTGTCAGTAAGATATATTTTAACAGTCAGATTATTGTAGAACTGTTAGAACGTCAAGGAGGAAATGATAGAACTATTGTTGTGCCCCCACCCGGACCCTAGAAGACAAGAATTGGGACATGGTGACTTGAAGATGGAAATATGAAAGAAAAAGGTCTCCAGGAGTCGGTGGCAAAATAAGGTTCTGGTCCCAGTTTGGTGTCCCAACAACTGTTGAAGAACTACCTACTGTATCTCTACGACAGAAGAACATCAAATATGGAGGAACTGAAGAGAGTCCCGAAGGAGGACGTGTTGACATCTATAAAACTGAACTCTGTTATTCAGGATGATTGGTGACGTTGTCTTCTAAGATCAAGATAGGACGAAATGCAATTTTAGAATTCTTCAGTTTCTATACTACTCCGGGAGGCTAATAATCTGCTGAGTGTGCACAAACATGTCACAAATAAAAAAAAGGTTACAGTCGGACAGCGGCGCGATGACAGTGATAAACCTCCACCTCACTCAGTTAATGACATCTTTGCCTGGCTGCACCTCTTTTTTTTTCTTTTTTAAAAAAAAATCAATCTCTGATGCTATTTATAGCCGCTGTGTCTCTTACTGCAAATCCATCCTCCTCCCTCCGTCTCCCTCTCATGACTTCTGCTCTCACTTCTGTAATTGAATCAATAAACTGACTTTAACTTTTATTTTAACGTCTTAGTTAGAATTCCCCCCCTCCCCCTCGTCCTCTGGTGGATGGACTTCCAACCTCGGTTCTCATCTTCACAAATGTTTCCTCAGAGCACAGATCACAGCCCTCCTTTCATCTTCTGCCTTTTGCGTCCCTCTCTGAAGTTTGATTTCTATAAATCCTTCCCAGGATTTGGTCCATCCCAAATTGTCAACCCAGGTCTGCTGAGACATTCAGCAGACATGGAATTTGTTTCTTCTTCCTCATTATCACACCCTTCAGCAGAAAAGTCGGTACCGTTCCCAAATTGGAGTAACGTACAGCTGATGTAGACAAATGTTTTGTGTTTGTTTGCTTCTGTTGGAGCCTACAGCTGTGTTACTGAGATCTGCTTTGTTAGTCCATTATGTGTCACACGCTGACACACTGCACCACCTTCTCTGTGTAATCCTAATGATGGATATGTCACAGCGCTTTGTCATCACCGTCCTCATTTTCACCTGAAATAGACACTCTCTGATGAGACCGGGACCTTAATGAGACGGAGCAAAAATACATCCACACAGACCACCAGGTCATGTGATCCCATGGTTCACTAATTGATGTGGCACTGGGCGTTCATAGGTTTAAATTAAGTATAGTATTAGTATTACATTAATAATAATAATAATAATGTTTCTTTATCTCCAATAAATAAACAGAATATCAGGTATAAGAAAAGAAAACAAGTATAGAGTATTGTAACGTTGTGTTATATAGATCTACTTTTTTTCTGACGGTTCTTGGGTGGCTTGAACGCACCATGTTGTAGCGCACATGCGCAGTGTGTTCTGTACCGTGTTTTTGGTTTAGAGCAACAGTGCTAACTACAGGTGAGCTAATTAACCGCGAGCTAACAAAATAAAAGCTGCCTCTTCCTTATTCTACCGCCCCACTACGGTATTATATATGTCCTGTGTTCATATATTCACTGTATTTTGTTGTAATTAGCAGTTAAAATGATACAAACAGTTGTGGATATTTAAATTAATAAAAATCAGAACAGTGAAAAGGGCTCTTCATCTTTTTCGGATTCTCGCGTCTTCTCCATTTTCCTTTAATATTTCTGTGTTCCTGCCAAGACCCATCTCTCTACTCTGGTCTCATTGGAGAATCATTAAACTCAATTGGGCAGAATTAAAGAGTGAACCCTTTCAGTCGGGGCCGTTGGAGGGGAGTTAAAGCAGGTCACCCACCCCTGAACTCTCCTCCCCACGCAGCTAATTGGCAATAATTACACAGACGAAGGCGACAGAATGTAAATCAGCTAACAGCTCACGTCGCGTCCCTGAGATCAGCGGCTGAGACACAGCGTTGTGAGGCACGATATCAGCAGAGATGTGAGAGTGGAATGGAAAACAATAGCCCTGTTGGAGGTGCAATTACCTGCATCTTATTGAACATTTACTTAAACGCTGCTGGTGTTAATAGATCTGTTGCAGTTACGAGAGAAAAGAAGCCGTTAGTCCACGTCACTGAAACTCCCCTTTGGTTTTCTTTTTTTCTTTTTTTACCTTTCAGGAGGAATATTTGAATCCATTGAGAGCGGCCCCTCAGGCGCAGAGGAACTTGCCTTCAAATTTGCCTTGAACACAATCAACAGGAACCGCACCTTGCTCCCCAACACCACGCTGACCTATGACATCCAGAGAATAAACATCTTTGACAGCTTTGAGGCCTCCAGAAAAGGTGATTCTATGTAGTAAAAATGTGTAAAAAGTGTATTTTTTTTACACATTTTGTTACTAATGAGTACAGTTTAAACACAGAATTTTCTTTATTAAATGTATGGTATTAAATGTAAACATTCTATAGAAATCAGACTTCAGAAAAAAGGAGAAATGGTCATAAAAAGGACCATCCAGTAATATTAATTATCATGTGTCTCCACTGTGTGGATGACTGATGACTTATGTGTGACAGGTCAGATTAATTGTATTTAATACAAAGGAAATCGGTCAACTGACATCTGACAGATTATCAGCAGAAGACACAGATAAACCTTATTCCTGATTTTTTTTCCTGATGTGACAGTTATACCAAAATGTTAACTAAACTTTAATAATATTTAAAATTAATGTTTTGAAATGACTAACAGAGTCGCAGCAGTCATTTTGTTGTGCTAGCTACACAGCTATACGCAGCAGCCCACTGCCATTTAAGAAATTAGCTGCAGGATGATTTTATAGTTAATCTGGAGATATAAGAAAATCTGACAACCACAGATACAATCAAACTCTGAGTATTTTCTCAGGAAGTTTCAGCCACTCTGGATCCAATTATACGTTAGCTAGCTTAGCTTGATGCCATCGAACAACTCTCTTGGTTTTTCACACAGTGCTGTTTGTGGAATGGTATGTTCCAGTGGTTTCATTAACTGGTTCTTGTGCTGCTCTAACCAGCATGTGATCAGCTTTCCCTCGGCGTGGCGGCCATTTTTGGCCCCTCACACAGCTCGTCGGCCAATGCCGTCCAGTCCATCTGCAACGCTCTGGGCGTGCCTCACATCCAGACCAAGTGGAAGCACCAGGTGTCCGACAACAGGGATTCCTATTATGTCAGCTTGTACCCCGACTTCTCGTCCCTCAGCAGAGCCATCCTGGACCTGGTGCACTTCTTCAAGTGGAGGACGGTCACTGTCGTTTATGACGACAGCACAGGTACAGGTACAGTCAGTGTCTGTCCTTACCTTCCAGTGATGTGAGTGGTTGTGTGCGATGGTGATGAATGTGATGTCCCTCCTCAGCTGTGGGGAAAACCGTAAGAGGTGCCAGGTGAGCGCCGAGTCCTTTGTAACCTGTCAGGTTGATTCAGAAATCAATGGCTGACTGTTCTGCCTCAGTCCTCCAGGTTCTGCCAATGTCAGTGTCTCGGGAGGGTGAGGGAAAAAGAAGCACCTTACCCAGAATGACCCAGTGTCTTTTCAGATTAATCCAATGCAGAATCCTAGTATGAGACAGCTGACAACAGCCATTAATAACTGGGCCGACACTTGATCTCTGAGGGTGGCTATCAAACGTGTCTGTGAGCCGTTTCTTGGATCCTCCGACTTTGTAAAGTGGCTCGTAATATGCATTTTTTAAAAGAGAAGTTGTATTTTAAACCTGAGCGGGGTGATGTCTTTATGAGGTAAAAGTGCAAGCGCTCGCTCCAGAGGAGGAGATAACAATATTCAAATGCCTGCTTGCAATTTACGAGCGATTTGGAATGATGTGGGTGACAAGTTAATGTAAGTAAATTAGACAGAGTCGAGAGGAGGTTTAAATTTTAGACAGGTTGCATAATGAATTTGCAGTCAGAGAAAATGAACATTGTCTCCCTGTTGACATCCTAAAACGTTCCTCTTAGCGCATTTAAAGCTGCTGCTTTTAGCAACTCAAGGTTCCTTGGAAGTGTTGGTTTTACTGCTGCCTCCCTGACCTCCGCTGAGTCCACTTCTGCAGCTGTTGCATCTGCAGTGGTAAATTTCCAGTGCTGGAAATCATTAGCATTAACCTTCAATGGTGTAACATGGGCTCGTCCCATTCGCCACATCACTCTGACTCATCGTTTTGACCTCTCTCCACGTTGTGCCTCCAAGCTCCGTATGTTAACACCCTCATTCTTGACAAGCTGCTCCAGTGAGACGTCCAAAGGTGACCTCCGGCCCCTTCCTCTGTCAGATTAGCAGCAGCTGAAGCCCCCTCAGTGGGGCATTTTTGGTGTAATACACCTGATGACCTGAAATGTATGACAGCTGCATGGCCGCACAGCAGCAGCACGACCCCGCCACTCCACCGCCCCACCGCTCCGCCGCCCGCTCCCATCCTATAATCACACAGCTTCATGCTCCACGGCTCCACGCTGCTGATTGGTTCATATCTGACAACTGGCAGCAGAAACTATCAGAGGGGATAAAATATTCACACAGTCCATGGAACGATCAACAGAGAAAGTCAGAAAGCATCACCTCGAGCACAAAAACATCCACGCTGACGTTTGGAGCCAAAATATCAGAAAATATATGTACTGGCCATTTAATCTGAGTAAATCATCCAATCTTCTGATTCAGGATTAAAAATCCAAGATTCAGGATTTTATTGTCATATTTTTTCAAAGTGTTTCATCACTTTATCGTACATATAGAACATACCACAAAAAAAGGATAGTGTAAAAATTGAATTAAATTAACTTGTCCAAATTGATTTAAAGGGCGTAAGGTGACCAAGGAAAAATGGACATTTATTTATTTTATTAAAGAACATGGTTAAGAACAGAAAATCATGATTTTGTTTAAAACACTGACAGACAGAACACAAGAAAGTTCTGTGTGGAAAAAATACAATATCAACCACATTTCCAGCCTGGCGTAGCTAATATAGTGGCTGTAAATGTCAGTGTGAACAGCAGCAGAACATCTCAGAAATGATTGACTCTACAGACATGTACAGGGATTAACTGATGAAAGCTGCAGAGGGATCACATTTTACCCAAACAATGGATTTTCTTTCCCAACACAAAACAGAACATGTTCCTATTTTACACCAGCCTCACTCCAGGCCTTGGGTAGATCTGAAGCTCAGGCAGTAACACCAATAAGCTGCTCACATAGCACTTCATTTCAAAATAAAAAATAGGCTTAGCCGCCTTAAAGTGGTTCCATGGAAGCAAAAAAAAAAAAAAAAAAAATCCTATCTCTCTCACAAACGATCCTCGCTGCTCCAGCCATTTTTATACCCATGACAAGTAATCATCTCTCCCATCAATCCGACCGCTTTCATCCCTGAACTCTGAAGTTCTTTACTGAGAGAGAAACTCATTGTAATCTCATCACAGCATCTCCCGGAGAGCTTTCTACCTGAGCGTGTGGTCGACAAATGAAAGGTGAAGATTGTAGCTCGCCGTGTGACGGCAGCTCCAGGCACCCTGGGGGCAAGAACGAGCTGGGCAAAGAGAGACGTTCTCATCAGAGCACATCTGAGGAGTGGCTGAGAGGCAGGGGAGGCCACTATTTTCATCAGCATCCAAATTTACCTTCCCTGGTTTTAAGTTGACATACCTGCCTACCCGAGAGTGACACCTATATGTTAATAAGTGGAACTTCTTCAAACTTCAATGAAAAAAAAAAGGTCAAATTTTGTGGTTCATTGTTGAATAAGCATTAACATAAACAAATGCTCAGTTGTTTTCAGTGCATTTCTACTGATCAGAGAAGTCAGGTTCAGCTGCCGTCGTGGAATTCACCGAGTTATTGGACTGGACAGTTGGAATTTCTGCAAAACAACCATCTTGTACAAAAGTTGGAATGATTCGAGAAGTCAGGGGTGAAGACCATGACTTGAACAGTAAATCTGCTGTGTATATTAGATGACCTGATGGGCAGATCCACTGTAGATTGTTGGTGTTTGTTGGATTTAATAAGAAGCAGCGTTATATGTTACCGTGGTGCTAAGCTCTCTTGACGTGTCTTTGAAAGTCTGTTTTTACTGCCAGGCAACTGTAGGAGGATCAATCAGCCACGGATAAAAATCCATGTACTGTATTCAAGTCTTTTTTTAAGCTAAGAGAAACTAAATCCAGTTGTTTTCTTTTGGCCTCTTTAAGATCAGAGCCGTTAAAAAATGGCAGCAGATCAAGCATGCCTCCTGCCTTCAACCTCTATGAAATTACATTTTTTTCTCACTTTACATTTCTTTTTTTGTCTCTAGGTCTCATTCGACTGCAGGAGCTCATCAAGGCACCGTCACGGTACAACATCCGTTTGAAGATTCGACAGCTGTCCACGGAGACTAAGGATGCCAAGCCTCTGCTGAAGGAGATGAAGAAAGCCAAGGAGTTTCACATAATCTTCGACTGTGGCCATGAGATGGCTGCCTGGATCCTGAAGCAGGTACAGAAAAACACGCTAAAGAGACACGCTACATCACATGTCATGGACAGTATCAGTATCTATAATATTGGGCAGATACAGAGGCAACATTAGAAGTTCAGGTGTGTGACAACGAAAATGCCTTCTGTGTTATATTACTTTTGACATTTTGCAAAATGTTCAGGCTGCTGAAGATGGAAATATTTTAGGAAAATACTGCAAAGGTTTCTACTTTGAAATAAAATTCATAAAAAATACCGTGATGAATAAAACTTTTGTCATTATAATGCCATTATTGTTTTGTGAGGCATTTTCAAAATGTTTACTCTCCTGTCAGGAATTCTGGTAATAAAGTTATTATTCACTGTTTGAACAACAGTGAAAAACCCTACAGCTATATTATAGCCTTTAAAAATCATTTTTTTATTATAGATATATTTGGATCTATTTCCCACTAGTAAACATTTTTAAACGGCAGCATTTGCAGATTAAACACTGACAAAGAGCAGTTGCAGACAGACGTTTTGCTTTATTAGAAAAAATGTGCAGCCTTTTCCTCCCATTAGTCAGACATGGACCGTAGTGGAAGTTAAGCCGACGTTCTGCTGCATTAGTGAACAATGAGCACTTTTAATCATGGCACTTATTCAATTTAATTAAGGACAAATTAACCGTAGTCTTAAAATTTACATATTTGCCCCCCTGATAGAAACATATAGTGGCGACATAGACTCACAGTTCATTCATTATGCATTCGTGCTCAAACAATAAACTGCTACGTGTTCCCTTTATTACCCGCTCTCTCTTTAAGCAATGATCCAAATGACTCCGATAACTTCTTCCTGCTCCTTAATCTTGGCAAAAGAAGATGAGATCTGTACCACTGACCCCGTCATAATAGCTTCACTCCATCGCACAATAAAGGTTTTTTAATTAGAAAGTCTAATTCTGCTCACAGGCATGTTAAATTCATTTAGCAGAGGAACATTATTTATGAGAGCTGCAGGGCTCCTCGGTGAATGGGAGTCTTATTGCTGCGCCTCCTCTACACACTTGTATTGTCTACGGTGGAGCAACAAGAATGATTAGTTTATAGATGATGAATATTTGGAACAAACAGCCATCGTAATACAAACACTGTAAGTCACAGCACAGTTCCAGCTTCAAAAAAAAAAAAAAAAAAAGAAAGAAAGTCTGTCACATTTTCAACAGTTCTGCCTTCCTCCCTGTGGCTACACACATTTTTGTGCCAAATAAAACTGTTTTGGCAAAATGATATGTTTTTGTCCTTTTGTCGTCGTGCTTTAAGAGAGCGGAAGCTGCGAAGTAAACAACATCCTGTCAACACAAACAACACGTTTGGTGTGAAAGATAATTATTTAAAAACATCTCAAAATAATATTTTAATTAAAAAAAAGGTAACAAATACAACTTCATCATTGTTTCCTCCAGTTTTTGTCTCCAGTGTTTGGTCCTTTTCTATTGTCTGTAATTTTGTTCTTTCTTTTCTACTTGTAGCTTTTGAAGATTTTTTTTTTGCTTGTTTTCAACATTTCTAAATAATCATATTTTTTTCATCTTTTGAAGATTTTTTTTTTTGCTTTTTGCTTTTTTTTTGACAATTTTTAGCTATTTAAAGGTGAACCTATAATTAGGTTTATAACTTTGACAATTTTTAGCTATTTAAAGGTGCACCTATAATTAGGATTATAACTTATTTATTTATTTATTTATTTTAGCTCCTAATGCTGTTATTTAAACATATTTCCTTACTTCTTTTACCAAGCCCTGAAGGTAGTTTACTCCTAGGATTACAGTCCACTTACCTTTGCTGGATGTCAACATCCAACTGCTCACATTTGACGGTGGCTGAATAAAAACGGTCAAATATTCGGGGTATGACGTTTGTAAAACATTCAAACTTACGACCAAATCTTTTTTCCTCCCCTCAGGCTCTCGCCATGGGTATGATGACGGAGTACTACCATTATATTTTTACTACTCTGGTAAGTACAAAACCACTCTCATATTTGGAGAAAAGGCACTTACACTGTGTATGTTTTTGATTAGTTCTTGCACTGTGCCATCTGCGATTGTGTTCCGGCATATATTTATTTATTTTCTTCTGTTTCTGGCGTTGTTGGAGTGCAAACACTCACCTGTTTACTTGTTGTGAGGCAAAACCTCATCCATCTGCCTGAGTGTCTGGTAGCAGTGTTTTTGTCTCTGAGAAGATAATTAAATATAACTCTACCACGGAGCTGGCCAAAGACGGGGGGGAAAAAACACTTTCTCTTCCTGGGATATAGCCAGACTTAAAAGTTGAGTTATTGTCATGCAGTTGATCAAAACGTGATATAAAAAAAATAAATAGAAGTTTCTTTTCAAACACCAACTGTGAGAAAGTTTCACATGAGCTTATTTTGGGGGAAAGAACTGCACCCTCCCCTCCTCACCCTCGATCGTCTGTCCACATCCGCTGAAAACAAAAACAGTCAGATATATGTTATTCTGACTCTTGTAGCGATTGAAGTTCCCTGAAACTTCTTTGATCCAGCCACTACAAAGATTGCGACGCTTCAGCGAAAGGGGAAAAAAAACATCAGCACATCTTTGCAGAGAAATGGAAGGCAGTGAGAGCTCAGATAATGGCCTGCAGCAGATGAGACTGTCGCTCATTTGGTCCATTATACTTCCAACAAACTAATGGCCTGCTGTGTCGTTGGCAGCACAGTCACGAAAGCAGAGGTAGAGGTAGAGGTTAGTAAAAGAACTGACCTGAGAGAGACACAGACAGAGACAGAGACAGAGACGTCCATACCAGAACTGAGCTTCAGATAAAAGCAAGAAAGAAAAACCAGCAGGTAGAGTCGATGTAAAAAGAAAACATCATTATTAAAATGACACAAATTTTAAAATGTTGCTTTCAACTGATTATCTTTCCATTAACTGGAAATCAGTTTAAAAAAAAAATAAAATAATGTGTAGCAGTTGTCAAAGTTCTACAAAAAGCTAACAAAGCATTCCAGTGATCTCATTGTTCATAGCTCCAGTCAGGAGGTCAGGAGGTCAGGAGGAACGTCTTCATTGTTCATAGCTCCAGTCAGGAGGTTGCAGAAGAACGTCCGAGGTACCAGCAGTACAATAGAACACAGTAAAAATAGTCGTAATGAGGCGGAGCAGATATGACAGAAGCCTGACATTAGCAGGAACTGGATGTCTTCCAGAAATAGATCTTAAACACTGGACAATAGGGACTGCAGAGAGACTGACCGCAACAAACACAACTACTGGAACTGAAAGTTCTAGAATGATCTACAGTACAACAGAGTACAGTCTAAACTGAGCTCCGATGACTTCAGCAGACTGACCTGGGCACGGTCTCTGAGAAGAGGAAGAAGAAAACAGTGGTAAAGTTAGAACAGGAGAGATGGTAGTGAAGGATGCTGTGTTTCCCAGCATGCAGCAGTTGCTGCTGCTCATCATGATGGAATCATTCCCACTTAAAATCAGCCAGTATTTGGCAGCTCGGAGGTCTTTGACTCCGGGGCCAAAAACTGCTGTGTTCTGGTACCAAGCCATGCACACTGCTGTCGGAGTAGAAAAAGAAAACATCAACCGTGGCATCCCTGCAATCCAGTGTCTATCACTATCTGTTACCGTGTCCGCTGTGTTGCTGTGTTTCCCAGAGACATCTGCCCGGTGAGATGGCAGACACGCTGTACACAGGACAACCGGGATGTCCTTTCACTTCCACATGATAGATGGCAGTCCACCAGAAGCCGCCTGTGACCTTGAATGTGTTGCCTTAATCAGTGCTAGTGCCTCGGCATGGGATAAAAAAAAAACAACAACTCCAGGAATACCTTCAGTGGAGCAGCTTGGATTTACTTCTGTTTGTTTTGTCACAAATGATCAAAAAAATAAAATCTTTGTAGTTGCACTGCACATCATTGTATTTGATTAGAAATTCTGTGAATAGAGGGAAAATTAGCTTTTTTCAATCCTTACATTATTTGGTCTCCATGTAAAGCAGGGGTGTCAAACATACGGCTGGGGGGTTTAATCTGGCCCATTTGAAGAATTCTAAAAGTGAAAAAAGGATGATTTGTCAAATTGAATATGAATATTTTATAATATACTTATTTCCATGAAAACAAAGGTGAAAAAACATGGACTTATTGTTATTTATAGGTAATTATTTATAGGTATTTATAGGTAATTATCTATGATTGTACTGGTCCGGCCCACTTGACATCTAATCGGGCTGCATGTGGCCCCTGAACCTGAATGAGTTTGACACCCTTGATGTAAAGTGTCCATGGTTTTATTACTCTGTGTTTTGTCCTCTCTGCTCCCAGGACCTCTTTGCTCTGGACATGGAGCCGTATCGTTTCAGTGGAGTCAACATGACTGGGTTCCGCATCCTCAACACGGAAAATTCTCAAGTGACGTCAATCATCGAGAAGTGGTCAATGGAGCGGCTACAAGCTCCGCCCAAACCGGACTCAGGCCTGCTGGATGGATTCATGACGGTAGGCAAACATGGGGTTCAGTCCTGATGTCGTCCTGCGTGCTGTCGATGCACCAAAACATGATGATTTACTGTATAGAAATGGTTAGTTATATGCAGTAGTCATCCAAATTGACAATAGAAATGGTTAGTTATATGCAGTAGTTAGGACAGATAACCTGTGGCTACAAGTTAGCCAAAGCAGCTAAAAATGGTTATGATTAATAGTAAATAGCTAAAAGTTGGCGCATTAATTAAATTAAAAAACAAACTGTGAGTTAGCACCTGTGATCAGGGACATTTTCAGTGTTGTTTGGCTCCTGGTGGGGGCGCTGTGTCAGCAGCATGTTCACCCTCCAGAACCTTTGTGTTGCCAGTCTTGGGTCTAAATGCTCAGTAATGAGCCAGTGTGGATGGTAATAACCGTTTATCTGCCCTCCTGCCTCTCACAACTCTCCACTGGGAGAGTGGCCAAAATATGACAATCTGTCAGTGTTCATGCAGTGAGAGGAAGCAAATTGGATGGAAATTATGGCCTTGGTTTTTTAGGATGACGTCCAAAAGGAGAATTGGGATAAGGTGATTTGAAAGTGAAAAGGGGAATGGAGCTCGTCATGGACGTTCAAGGTCCTTCTCTGAGTCTCTGGGTGTAAACACTCCATTTTGCCCTCCCTCTTCTTCGCAGCACATTTCCAGCAGACAAACATGTTTTTTCCTCTTCCTTTCAGACAGTTTTTCTTTCCGCTTGGCAGATTGAAGAGCGGCTAGTGGAAATCTAATGAGAAGCGCGTCCTTAAATCAAAGACTTCAAGACAATCCTTTAAATTAGACACGGTTCATCTGGTCACACCTCCTGCTCTCTGTCTGTCAGTCCCACAAACAACAAACACCAGTGGCAGCTCCCTCTCAATCACAGCAGAGCATGCTGGGAATAAGGCACAGGTCTGTTTTTCAATGACGGTGAACATTGTAGAGTTCAAGACGCGTTTGAGGACAATTCAGACGAGTGTCAAAAATGCAATTTGAGGAGAATGAGTGGAGTCATAATGCATGCTTCAGTGTGTAAATCACCTACAGTAGTGTCTCTCTATTGTTGGGTGTGAACAGTCCAGTTGCCGTACTCTGGATGAACTCTGGTCTAGTTCATAAAGACGTGCAAATATTCAACTTTCTCATCCCAGCAAAAGCTGCTTTAATTTTAGGAATCTCGTCTTTGTTTTCCCCACAGGCGTTAGCATGTGCGTCCCTCGCTCCGTGTGATGTTCGAGTGCAGATAAATAAGCAGAGCGTTTTACGTTTGCAAAAAGATTAATGCACTCCACAAAGAGGTTAAATGACTCGGGTTTATTTCCCTTCCACCGGAAATTAATAGACGCTGGTGGAGACTGTTGAATTGATTAATTAGCTTTGCATGAATCATTTTGTCAGATTCTCCCCTGCATATTGACATATCTCACTGGACTAGGACTACAATTAAATACTAAATAATATGTCCGAAGCCAACTCCTGTAAGCTTGATAAAGTGCTTCATTAGAGGGCTCTATTTATAAATCTGAGCTCTGCTCCGTATGTGTGTGTGTGTGTGTGTGTGTGTGTGTGTGTTCTATTCTTCAGTAGGCTCCAGCCTAACAGGATTCATTATAACGACTGAGTAAAGACGTAGTGGTGTGAATGTACACTGAAAGTGTTGTCTTTTTTATGGTATAATAAAGCCAATAACCCAGAAACTATTCTGCAGAGAAGAAAAAAAAAACACTCTTTACTTACATTAAAAAATGCATTGAGGGAAAAAAAAAACATTTAGTTTCTCCATTAAAAAATGCATTGAGGGAAAAAAACATTTAGTTTCTTTGCGAATCGAACATCTTTTTAATTAATCTGTGGACTAGCCTGACATTTCTGTTGCAGCACTCCGGGCAGAGTGAAGTCAGGATGATATCATTAAATGAAAACGTGGGAGGGCTGCAGCAGCCGGTGTGTGACCTTCCACCCACCCCCCGACACTCTCTCAAGCCTTTCATACCTCCTGGTTCACGGTGGCGCAGGAGCCTTGCTGGGCCGCGGCGCTTGTTTGTTCTCAGTGACCAGGCAACACTTGTGTTGCAGCAGTTACCAGGGCAACGCCATCCATGTCACCTTGTTATTGCATGAAGGATTGATTGGCCAAGATGTGTAGAGGAGGGGGTGAGGAGTGGAGGTGAAATGGTGGCGGGGGGACGGGTGGCTGCATTGAAAGGTGAAATGTTGTTTTTTCCACTGATGTTGGTTAATGTGTGATCACAGTAACACACGTGTAGGACTGGGTGTCTGAAGGAAGGATGAAGAAAAATAATTGGAGAAATAAAATCCAAGGCGTCAGAACAGAACAGTCTCAGTTTCTGTTCAAGGTAGGACATACAGGAAGTGTTAAAGATGTTAAAGATCCAGCAGCTTCCTCCGACAGCCTGAACACAGTTGTAGCCAAGGTACAGGCTAACAGGCTACAGGCTAACAGGCTACGGGCTAACAGGCTACGGGCTAACAGACTGGGCGTCAGTGTTAGTGTTGCAGACACTGAGGAACTGAAAAGTTGCAATTAAATGCAGATTTTTTTTTTTCCACTTGTGACCAGTGACCACTGGCCAGAGAAAATAGAAAAAAACCCAGAGGGCAGCTCTCCTGCAGTGACATAAACATCTACGTAGCCCATTTATAATGACTGAAGGGAGTACTTTTGTACTGTGTTGGTAATTATATTCATGAAACCATTAATCACTTTATTATCAGTGACTATTCAACTTGTTTTCATTAACAACTCTTCTAACATACATAAATTATGTGTTTACATAGATTTCCTGTTTGCATTGAATCTGTTGATTATGTTTTCCCATCTGTGTGCACTTATTACCTGCGTCTTTATTTGCTTTTAACAAGTGTTGTTTCTCTAATTATTTACAAATCCCTATTCATGGAGCTAAGCAGACTTGGATTCAGGGAAAAAAAAAAAATTCCCGGTTGTACATCTAAATATTCTGCATCTGCGTTTCATTGAGCTATAATTACCACAGAAGAGAACTAGATGTTCTCGCTTTCATCAGCAAAAGTGAATATTTAGCGATGATAACATCTCATAATAATAACAACTCAGATGCTTAGGGAACTGTGTGTTTACAGCATGGCGTGGATGACGCTTTGTTTCACCAGGGACTGTTTATAATCAACAGAAAAAATATAAGTTGGCAAATGCTCATTGTTGTTTAAAGAGCAACCTACAGTTGACATATTTATTTTTTCTGTTAGCATTCAAAGTCAAAAGTTGAATGAAAAAAATGAGAAAATTAAAATAATTTATATTTATTTTTTCTGTTAGCATTCAAAGTCAAAAGTTGAATGGTTGAATGGTTAATAATTAGCTACATCACAGTAGAAACTTTTATCTTTGTTTAATCATCGTACATCATCTAATAGTTATATCTCTGCAGCAGTGGATATCCCACATGTTCAAACTGAGTTATTGTCTCACTACCACGTTGTTGTTGGCAGTTTGCCTCAATCCATGGGAAATTAATTGCGTAGACTCACACAAGAGATTCAGCGACGCAGAAACGGCCTTAAGATTCACTTCACCAAATTTGTGGGATCAAAACTGTGATTTTCAACATAAAATCATTTCCTGCCCTGTTAATTTTACCACATCTCAGTAATCAAAACAAACCCACTTTGCCCGCAGCTCGGGTCTGTTGATGCCAGGGCCCTGTGGAACTGGCAGATGTAGCTGTAATTTGTGAGTGACAGTCATTTGTGAAGCTCTGACACTGGAGCCTTTCACTGTCTTCCTGCCGCTGGATGGAACAGCCAGGATGTGACATCCTGAAAGCAACATCCATGGACCGTTATACAGAATAAAAAGCCGCATTTGATACATTTTTTTTCTGAGAGGCCTATAATGATCCATAGTGACAGAATGTTCCAGAGGAGGTTCCACCCACATGGTGAAGGCTCAGGTGTTCTTACTGCAACTCCAGGGACACTAAAAGCCCTCACCTCCAGTTGCATTTTTTTTTTGTTTCTGTTGTTTGTTTATTGCATAGAAAATGGCTTGATTTGTTAGTTAATACATATATATTATAATAATTATAATGGTAATATATACCTTACACATGATGAAGAGTTATAGTATAAATCTGAGAAAATCTGATGGCTGAATGTTAGAAGTAAGGCAGCCAAAATAAAGTGTTAGCCAAGTTGTTTGTTTCCATTAAAGATGAAAAATGAAAAGGATTTAGAGGAAAACCATAGCATTAAAATTGTTACCAGCAAAATGCCTAAAAGTAAAAAAAAAAAAAGAATAGACTGTAGTTAGCCAGGGGATATTTAAGTCTACAATACTACATTTACAAAACAATAACAAATATTGACAAAAGAAAGAACCTACAATACTACATTTACAAAACAATAAATAATATTGACAATAGCTATAATAGCTATATATAAAATATTATTAAAGCAGCTAAGGACTATGCTAAGCTATCCCATCATATCAACTGACCCGATAGTCAATATATATTTATATATTTCAACCCTGTTTTACAAACGTGCTAGTGTTTCAAATCAGTCTTGGTACAGTAAATACAGTGACTCTGCCTCCACAGTTACAGTCAGTGGATTTTACTTCATTTCATCTGGGACGCAAATTAGTGACAGTGTGAGCGGAGAATGAGGTACGACAGGAAAGTGCAGGCGGAAGCAGAACTGCTGGGAAAAACACACCAGGGAAGAGTGTGAGCCGGAGAGAACAGACATTAGCAAGGGCTGCTGGGAGTTTAGTGGCAGATTGCCCTCTCACACACACACACATACATACTCAAGCAGCGAGGGTGATTTACCATGCATGTTTACATGTTTGTGTGTGTGTTTGTATTGTCCTGCATGTACCGTAACTGTGACGCACGCTGAGACGTCTGATTAAACCTCGGCCTCGGCTCCAGAGATGATGTGGTTGTTGGAGGGGGGCACACAGCTGCCCCGTGATGTCACAACACA